ACACACACACACACCCAGGACAGGTGTTCTCCTGATTGGTGTCTCACCCACCGGCAGGTAACTTAACACTTTCACGAGTTAAGAGAAAAAAGACTCGCTCTCTTAACTCTCTCTAGATTAGATTAGATTAGATTAGGTTAGGTTAGGTGAGCGTTACGGTGGTTAATCTTCATACGAAATAAGCTGGGGTGTCTAGTCTTCATGTGATCCAGTATATAAGGTGTGAACAAAGGCCGTGTCCCCCTTAAAAACACTTAGTTTAGTTCATAATATCCCTTACGTAATATCTCCTCCAGAAGAGACCATTAATTTCCTGTTGTAAATCCCCAGAGGTCTTTTTAATTAGCTGTTCTCCTCCCGGCGTCCTGGAAGCCTCCACACTCACTAACATCTCCTGAAGGTGGTGAGGGACGGCATCCAGGAGGAATGAGTCCTTAACGTACATGTGACGGCGGCCCTCTTACCAACACAAAGATCTTCAACAACGGAACAAAAATCCCATAAACTGTAATACTTGAAGTGATCGGTAGTGCCAGAGTGAAGGAGGGTAAACAGTGCCTCCTCAAGCTCAGAAATACAAGTGTCGTTGTCAAAAACTGAATAAATAAAAAAGTTGTGATGGTGTTGTGGCCAGAAGATGGAGCAGTGGGGGCTGTGTTGTGGACATGGTGAAGCAGAGTAACGTGACAAATATCGCCCATCATCACACACACACACACACACACACACACACACACACACACACACACACACACTACATCATGTGTAAATTATGATACACTTAACACCGGATCGAAACTTGTCTCAACCAAACACATATTTTCCTGACCTTTGATCCGTGTGTTGACCTTTGTGGAGCTAATACACAGTGAGCCTCCCCTGACCTGCTCACTCTTGACCTATATGAGGCAGCCTTTATACGTATAACCCGAAGGTCAGACCCACTACAGACAACTTATGATAAAAGTGTAATACATCGACTAACTTAAGATAACTTGATCATCACAGCACCACGACAACAAACACTGTTATCATGAGTAATAAATCTGGGGTGTCCACTTACCGTACATCAAATACTCAACTGTAAATATATGCTAAGTGTCTTATGTGTTAGAGAACCACTTATGTTGTGATGCACTGTGCCGAGGTTTTCTATAACATTACCATACGATAACTGTGTTGGTATCTGATTACTTACTTCAATATTCAGTCATCCTAGTAAAAATAGCAATTGTATATATAACAGCTGTTGGTTATCCCACCCGACTTAGGTTTAGAAAGCGGGATTACAATACGGAATTTGTTAGGCGAGACAGTGAATACCTTTTATGTGTGGCAGGGCAAGAGGGGTGTATACCACTCTTGTTGTTAAGGGTCTCCACCAGGACTATAAGACTGATACTCTGTTTTTTATGGAATATTATCCACAAGTTAACCTAGCCTCGTGCATTTAATCATTTCCTGTTAAAGTAGTACAAAAAACCCCTGTTATTTGTCAATATAGTAATGTACCTGTTTTTCAATTACGAGGTTTTTAATTGGGGAAACACCGTAAAGTCCAAATATTTGTATTGATGAAAAAAAGTTAATTACCTCTAAAAGATACTAGTTATTCACTACATCTTTTTTTAATTACGTAGAAACATTTGTCCACAACCATGAAGTGAAAAACAAATAATCTAATCTTTATATCTGAAACACGACAGGAGGAAGTCCACTTATCTAAATGTTATTACGTGTTTCGTTAATTTTTTTTTTTGTCAACCCAATGTGGTTTTGGTGTTTCACGACAGACAGTGTTCAGGTGTTTACCATAAACCCTATATGACAGCTGATTGTTGTTGACGGCCGTACGATATGTTCTGTAACTCGGCTTAATTTACACACCCCAATTAGAACCACCTGGGAGAACAATTATATAACATGAGAGAATTCAATGATAATTTGAACAAAACCTAAACGAGAAGTACATGCACAAAGTGACGAACAGACCTAGATTCTTCCTTTCATTTCGTTTCTTCTCCTTCACTAGCCTTTCTACCTTCCCTTTCCCCATCTCTTCATGCATTTATTACCATCTCATTCTTCTCTTTCCATCTCCCTCCTCTTTATATTCATCTTCTTATTTACTCGCCAGTATTTATCGGTTTAAAGTTGCAGTACACAGCAATGGCTTCAAGTGTGGCCCAGCAGAAGGCTCCCACAACACTGAAACTCCATTGTAGGTGAGAGACTCGTGGCAAAGTTTTCTCCTCCTAAGTGTTTTAACTTTTGGGTGAGGCGGCTTGGTGATGGGGAAGGTGAGGTGGCTTGGTGAGGTGGCTTGGTGATGAGGGTGAGGTGGCTTGGTGTTGGGGAGGGTGAGGTGGCTTGGTGATGAGGGTGAGGTGGCTTGGTGTGAGGGTGAGGTGGCTTGGTGATGAGGGTGGCTTGAGTGAGGGAGGGTGGCTTGGTGTTGGGTGAGGTGGCTTGGTGTTGGGGAGGTGGTGAGTGAGGAGGGGTGATGAGAAAGAGGAGGAGAAGGGGTGACATGGTGAAGAGGGGAGGAGGAGGAGGGAGGGGTATGGTGAGGAGGAGGGAGAGTGGTTGTGGGAGGTGAGGAGAGAGGAGGAGTAAAAGAAGTTGGTGGTTGTTGAATGAAGAGAGACAGCAGGAAGAAAGGGAGGGAGGGAGGGTGGGTGAAGAAGTGACACACACACACACACACACACACACACACACACACACACACACTCTTCAAGCTATATACGAGATTCCTACCTGTGTTTTATGAAGATTTACGATCCCTCACGTTCACCACCACTGTATATATGGACTCTCTCTCTCTCTCTCTCTCTACGACTAATAAATAAACAATAAAGTACGAAACCATTACTCCATCTTCATTAATTTTTTCCCTCCTCCTCTGACCTTTCTGATGCTCTGTAACAAAACTTCCTTCCCGAGGTCTATCTGTCTTCTCTTCTCTCCCTTCCTTTCTCTCTCACTTCCTCACTTCCTCCCTCCTTGACTCCATTCCTCCGCCTCTTTCCATCTTTAAAAGTTCCGATTTCCTCAGTTCCTTCATTACTCCTGCTTCTCTTCTCTCCCTCCCTTTCTCTCTCACTTCCTCCCTCCCTCTCTCCTTTTCTCTCCCTCCCTCCCTCCATCGTTAAAGTGCTGACTCTGTCTCTCTCTCATCAGTATTCCTCCCTCCCAGTTTCCACTCTCACGGCAACTGACTCTAGTTCATTGATATGGTAACCATGACCCATTCTCCCCATGTTCACCGCCATGACGACCCATCCTCACGCATCTCCGTCAAAATTAGCATCACTGTTCACTATAATCATTACATATAACACTTAAGGTGACTGTTGGATTGTTCTAACATAAGAAAAACATGAGGTCCTTTAGTTAACACATATTCATCAAATCACTGGAGGGATGTGTAATTCATACAGGGTGCTGCACTGATACCTGACCATTGAATGATTTACCACAAGCTACAGTATGGACACTGTAGCTCCTTCACTCCTTTATTTATGTTGCGGGCACATAGTTACTTCGTAAATGGTTAGATACATAGATGCAGTACAGATAACACTGACAGACCCGCGTGGTGAGCCAGTAGTAAGATACAGTACTTCAGCCGCCAGCAGACCTTTTCACATTTGTTGAGTGTGTTACAATGTTCACACTTGCCACGTATATTCTCCAAACAACCTTTTAACTGTATTATATTGAGGTCAAAGGTCAAGGTCACATAACAATGATAAAGGCAGCACAGCCAATACCTGCCTGGAGCAAAGTTTAAGTCATCAGGTGTTGTGGGACTCACCTGGAGGAGGTGGTGGTGGGTGTTCACTTGGTCAGGTCGTGCCGCCGGGAGCTCCTGTCACCAAGGTTCTCCACTCTCATGTAACAACATCTTGCATTAATCTATGATATTCCTCACAATTCATCACAATTTTCTCTCCTTCTCTGCTATTATTACATCATTCGCTTATCCCTATTACCTCTCCTGTAATTATTCTGTTACTATTTATCATTTCTCCTCCCCTCCTATTTTTTTCAGTTACTCGCTTTTACAATTATCTCTTTTCTCTATTACTGTGTTATTCACTACTATCCATCATTATCATCTCTACGCTGCTATTACTCCATAATGGTAGATGAAGGGAAACATAAACTTCAATAAACGGAGGGAATGGGAGAGCAACAGAAAAATACATAAATAAAATACAACATTCATTAAGCAGTATTACTTATCAACTAAAATTACTATAGTCACTTTAATACTTCACTAAAATTCATTATTAGAAAATAATTATCATACAAGTAATTTTTTTTCCGAGATTTTGGGTTAATATTTTTTTGGGGCGATGCGTTAAAAAAAAAAAGACTAGAACTCAACTTACAATATCACCACAAGATGACGGACACGAGGTATTTGTTGACATGACGGGAACAACACTACGGGGGCACAGTATTTATAAGAGCACAGGACAAGAACCAACTAAACTTTATTTTACTTTCCTAACAGTAACTTGGCATCTAATCTAACCTAACCTAACCTAACCTCACTTTAAAATTGTCTTCCCTTGCCTTACATAACCAAAACAAACAGATGCTAATGGTCCTTTAAGGTTTAAATTGGGTAACAATATAAGAAAAGGTCTCTAGTAACTTTTATATTATTAGCTTTTTACTTCGAGAATTATGAAAATTTAGCATATATTTTTGTTGTTTTCTGTATCTTTACAACGTACAAGTACTGTATTCTAACAGACGCAAACCACCCATGTTGACAATGTGAAGTACCTGTGTTCCTCGCCTCTGGACTTTAAGCGTATGCCATCTTATTAAATGTAGTGTATCTGATATTAACAGGAACGACTAATTCCCAAATCTGCCAAATTAGGATATAAATCACTCAGTGGTTTCGTTCCAGCTAACATCAAACACTGGTCTTATTTTTATTCACAAGAGTCGTGTAACGTTTCTAGCAACACACTTACTTGTCGCTGTCAACATGACGAGCTTGTCTTGGTGAAAACTTCATCGTCGCGGAAAAACACCCAAAAAAACGTTGCTTTTGAGATGTCAGCACCAGATTCGTTTTGTTCTTGGGGGGAATGAAAAAAAAAAAAATAACTATTTGTACAAGTTGTAATGTTCTCGCCTCACAATACTTTAGCTCCTCAAAACCCTAATATTATCACTCAAGTATTAACTAATATCAAAAGTTCCCTCCTGGTAACAACGTCTTACCTCGTCTTTCTTCCTCAACGTGATGAAATTCGTCACAAAATAAAGTCACAATGAACGTGTCAACAACGTCACTCTCACAGGATTAAATGACCAGTGTTTACTTCTTGCCGACTCCCGTGTTCTGGCGCTCTGTTTAGTCAATTCAATTCAATTTCAATTGTTTATTCCTTGATAGAGGAAGCGGGATCCTAGTGCTGTCACTAGGTACCCCTGTACAATGACACCAGAATCATCTGGCAAGTGTGAAAAGTATATACAGTATAAATATTATAAAGGGGCTTACTAAAGCCTAAGGAAGGAAGGATGTTCCTTTAACACATAATTAATATTATTTACAAAATATCTGGCCAGTATTGGGAGGATCATCGTGTCTCCGTCAGGGGGTCGTGGAGTGGTGGTCCAGCAGGCGTCACGGAAGCGTTGTGTGTGGGGACATCTTAGGAGGTAGTGAATAAGGGTGCGGCTGTCGGGTCTTCTGCATAACGCACAAGAGCGTTGCTCAGGGGATGTGGGGATACCAATCTCCCAAGCAAAGTCATATCCAATGATGATACGGGCAGCAATCACGTCCCCCTTCCGCGACCCTTTCCCGTAGACGTATGAGAAGTCAGGAAGTTTACGGAGGACATCGTACCATGTGGGCGGGGAGTCCAGGGGGATGGCTGCTTCCCGAGCTTCTCTCTGTTTGCGGCGGATTTGGGTCCTAATCTGTAAGAGTGTTCGAGGAACAACGTAGTCAGGTGTGGCCTTGTTGCAGCCAGTCTTGGCAAGGTCATCTGCTGCCTCATTCCCCAAGATACCGACATGACTAGGTATCCATAGGAATGTCACAGGACGGCCTTCATCCTGAAGTTTGGATGTTAACCCTCGTATTCGGAGGATGAGGTCCTTATTTTCCCCAGATCCAAATGCGATCCCGTCGAGAGCAGACCTGGAATCGCAGCAGACAAGCAAGGGGCAGAAACCATCTGCTTCTTCCTCAGCGAGAAGGGCAGCAAGGAGGGCTATTAGTTCAGCCTGAGTGGAGGATGCCCCGTCAGAAACTCTGAGAGACAGTTTGATAGGCTCAGGGGCATGAGGACGGGAGATGTAGACACCAGCCCCGGCCCTACCTGTAGCGGGGTCAACAGAACCATCAGTGTAGAGGACGACCCTACCTGGGGACCAGTGAGCGATCCTGGAGAGGTGGTATTTGCAGAGAATAACAGGGTTCACCTGGGATTTCGGGAGCGGTCCACCGAGGGCAATCACTTCAGGTTGAAAATCCAGCCAGGGAGAAGGAGACGAACCAACAGCAGGGGTGACAACAATATCAGGCAGGAGGTCATGTTCCTGAAGGGCTCGGATGAGTGACCCTCGCCACTGTCTTCTAGATGGAGGTCGGTCTCGAACAGCAGTAGTCAAGTTGGTTTGGACATAGTTGCCCCTAGGATCCCGTAGAATGGAGACTCTGTTTAGTCTACGTCTTTAGTTACGAGACACACACACACACACACACACACACACACACACACACACACACACACACACACACACACACACACACACACACACACACACACACACACACACACACACACACACACCTCAAACTATATGTCAAATTTAGTTTAAGGTTTTTATTATAATTTAATATGTAAATTATGATGTACAATGCAACATTTAAAATAAGATCAGAATTCATACAATGTTTCGATTTGTAACTATCAGTGAAGCCATTCCAACAAGCGTCGTGTTATTTATCTATTTATTGAAGTAGTCATCCTAAACTTAAATAAAGTAATCTAATAATCTAATGGTGTTTGGGTGGAAAATAAGTTAGTTTCTCACTCTTGTTCGTGTTTCATTTAAAGTTAATATTTAGCAGAGCTCCATAAGTGTTTTTTCCCGTGAAGGTCATTGTTAATCATTTGTTTATTTATCTACCAGGGGTACCAACACTGACCACACCAGTCCTACCAACACTGATCATTTTATAAATTCTACCAATATTGATCATACCAGGCCTACCAATATTGACCTAGCTAGGCCTATCAACATTAACGAGCTGTACCAGGCTTACCAACACTGGCAGCTTAGTGCTGGTAGTTAGATGGAGGATAAACTTTATCTTAATTGAAGTTTGCAAATGGTCAGCGGGAGCCATTAATCCAGAAAATGGTTCACCATTTGTATCATTTAATTGAAGGCCTTTGGTACAGGGGGTCGGTCGTCGTCCTCAACAATATATTTGAGAGAGAGAGAGAGAGAGAGAGAAGTGTGACTTCCTCGGGGACAAGTGTGGAGTGTGTGTGTGTGTGTGTGTGCTTGAGAGAGAGAGAGAGAGAGTCATTACAGATAGTGAACGAGCGAACATTCGTCTGGTAAAGCTTCCATTAGGGTGTAAATGCTGGGCACAGTGGAGTGATAAGTGAGGTATTGATGCCAGGCTGTGCCCGACGGTGAGAGCCACAGTTTGGGTTGTTCACTACGGTTACCACGCCCTCGGTAACCACACCTACTACTGCTACCACACCTACTACTACTACTACCACACCTACTACTACTACCACACCTACTACTGCTACCACACCTACTACTGCTACCACAATTACTACTACTACCACACCTACTACTATTACCACACCTACTACTATTACCACACCTACTACTACTACCACACCTACTGCTATTACCACACCTACTGCTATTACCATAACTAGTGCTACTACCAGAGAGTGAGAGAAAGAGTGAGGGAGAAAGAGTGAGAGAAAGAGAGTGAGAGAAAGAGAGTGAGAGAAAGAGAGTGAGAAAGGAAAGAGACGTTCGGAATTAATTTTGCTCAACTTGTGTTTTTAATAGTTTCGTCCAGAAGTTTTAACAAGCATTATGGGGCCTCGGCGCAGTGAGTCATTGTCTCTGGAAGTCATTTACGCTACAGTCTGTGTTTTGTCCCCATAAGAGGTGACCGATCTAATGAGCCTTCAACTCTAACAGACCCCCAGCCTTAAGGGACCACACTTCTAATGGACAGGTTAAGCTAGGGGCCTGTTAGGACAGACAACTGGGGCCCATTTGACCGTGTTACCCCAAGAGTAAGAGATGCGCACACACACACACACACACACACACACACACACACACACACACACACACACACACACACACACACACACACACACACACACACCACCTCTCATCCCACAAAAAAATGAGACCGTAACAAATTGGCTTCGGGACTTTTACTAGAAAATTAACTGACGGTGAGTTTTTCTCTGTTTTTTGTTTTAACGTTTTATTATTGTGTTGAACTTAATACAACTGGTGTTTGGTTTTCCTGTCGGTATATTTGTGGTTTTATCGTCGGGTTTTTGGTGTTTTTGTTTGTTTTTGAAGGTAACTGTTGTTTTTATATTTTTTAGGCTTTTTATTTTGTGTGTGGAACCTTATATTATCGTGTGTATTTTTACTGGGTTTTTGGAGGGGGTGGGGGGGGGGATCGGGGGTTTATTGTTATTGTTTGTTAGTTGGTTTATTGTTGTTTTTCGTTTCACAGGTAATTGTTTTGTTTACTAGTTTCTTTTGTATGTGAGTTTTTCGTGGTCAAAACTCGGACACGCAAATGTCAGCCAGGACCTACTCCCCGATCCTCAGTGGCAGTCAATACAACCAGCCGCCACGACCACCCAATAAAACTTTTACCAGGAGATGCCTCACTCAGCGTCAGGAGATCTTCCTCACTCTCAGAAGATCTTCATCGTCAGGAGGTCTTTTTCACTGTCAGTAGATTTTCCTCATCGTCAGGAGATCATCTTCACTGTCAGAAGGTCTTCCTTGCTGTCAGGAAATCCGCCTCAGCTTGGTCCTGAGCACACGACGTCTGTGGCCGATGTACCACCCCCTGCTGGTGCGTTTAATGATCACTTTGTAGGTTATCAGTCCACTACATGGGTGGACCTCCCCAGTATGGTCCGCTGTAGAGCTGGATACAAAGGTGTGGGCACGCGGATATAGTACTGGTCCATCTCTCTGGCCAGACCTTTTGTAATAATAATAATAATAATAATAATAATAATAATAATAATAATACAGTAATAATAACACTAATAATAATAATAATAATAATAATAATAATAATAATAATAATAAACTCAGGTTGCCTCCCTCGCCCTGCTGTTATACAAGGACAAGTATTACGGACACGCTGAGGGAGTTTATGTGGGATAATTACAAGGTAGAAGAGGAGGGGCTGACCTGCACAACACGCCACTAACCCCCCCCCCCATAACACCATTAGTCCAGTAACACCCCCTTAACGGTGACGTAACACTGGAAGATTGTGTTATCGGTGTATTGGTAAACTCGACTTTTATTTTTAGTCTTCCATCTCTAATTCCTCTTGTGTGCCGAAGGCTTAGTGTACATTGTGCTGTACCCACACTGTCCTCAATGGGTAGTCACGCCTATGGCACCCACATTCACACATTACGAATGTTTATACTCTACGATAACTGTATTCATTACGATTGTGTTTCATGTAACGATAACTGTATTCAACACTGTTATGTAACGTTAACTGTATTCACCACTACTGTTTCATGTAACTATCCAACACTGTTTATTCTGTAACATTAACTGTATTCATCAGTAATGGTTTAAGATAAATACACCAACAGCGAGAATTAAATCAGTTTATTCCTCTCTTCCTCGAGGCATGCGGCGCGACAATCCCAACACAGGCAGTAAATATTTATCATCAGTGAGGCTCAAACGTGGATAACCCGACCAGAGGAAATTGTTTGGTCTCACTTG